AGAGCCTTAATCAGGTGACCCCACAGATTATCTCAGAGATCTAATTTTTGAGGGAGTATTAATACGTCCACCCTCTCTACATTTCCAAACCACCTCTACTTTCCCTCTGATACTTTGAGTCCCAATGGCTCAACCTGCTGTTCCAGTTTGTTCACTTTAAGTGTATTATGTTCCTTTTAACCATCCAGCCTGTTCTCCTTTTATCACCACAATGTTGCGAGATAGGTTGCTGTTCACCTATATGTTGCAACACCCTGATACCTTGTTCGTTACAGATATTCACAAGAAAAGCAACCATGCACACATACCTTAGCACAATTTGAACTGTAGGAAGACTTCAGAGTATCTGGAGAGATAAACACTCCATATAAGATGAGTCCAGATGCAGATTCAAACCAAGGACTTTTATAATTAACATAAGAACCACCATTCAGCTTGTTACTTGTCTGAAAACCATCATTCAATTCATTTCAGAGCTCTATAGAAGACATAAAGTAATTTTCCTTTTACCCTTGAAGGCCTTATTGAGTCACAAAATCATCAATCAAAGATCCTATCATTCACTGGCTGTTATTCGGATCCCTAGATCCAAGATTTAAAAGACTAAAAGTTTTCCACTGTTTCTCAGTAATAAAAAATTTTCAGTTCATGTATGTAGAAAACAGAACCCTCACTGCATGTGGTATTTGTTTGATTTTGGGTATAATTTAGCTCCCTATTATGGTGCAGCCTCATGTTGATAAGGAATAAAACTAATGAAAAACTACATCTCTGCGCTTTTTTAAAAAACGAATTTGTACTAGATTGTCTGCACTTTAGGTTTTGTTTCACCACAATCTAATAGTTTCACATCTTCTTTGTATATGGGTTAAGTTTTTATTTTATCAAAATTCCTAGTAAAAGGAAGTTTAAGAGGAGGCTCTTACTTGGTATAGGAAAGGCAAGGTAAGCTGATTTGTGTTAGCACAAGTCAGTACAAAAATGAATCAAAGTGTTTTGCATAAAATAAAATAAAACCTAAAATAGAAGCAAGATAAAAGCATATAAAGATAAAAACATGATAAAAGAAAGGTCGTAAATTAAAACAGCTGCACCAAAAATTTAAACTAATGACACCTAAGTTTACAGTATTACTTTAATAGTTAAATGCAGTTCCAAACAAATAGGTTTTTAACTTTAATTTACGGTTTTCCAGATTAGTGGAGCATAGGAACTAAATGCTGCTTCTCCATGTTTGGTTCTAGTTCTGGGTGTATACAGTTGGCTGGAACTAGAAGACCTGAGTGGTCTGGGAGGTTTATACACTGGCAACAAATCTGTTATATATTGAGGTGCTGATCCATTCAGTGATTTATAGACTAACAGAAGGATTTTAATGTCTGATCTAAAGGGAGCCAGAGGAAGGACTTCAGAACCGGGCTGATAGGCTCTACTTTTTTAGTTTTGGTAAGGATTATGGGCAACAATGTTTTGGATCAGCTGCAGCTGCCTGAAGGACTTTTCAGGCAAACCTATAAAGACACTTTTTCAATTATAAATTCTACTAAAAATAAAAGCATGACTAAATTTTTCTAGATCCTGATTAGAAATGAATCCTTTAATCCTGGAAATGTTTTTCATGTTATAAAATGCTGATATATGCCCCTGAAGGTTCAGGTCTGCGTTCATCATCACAGCAAGATTTCCTTGGTTTCTAGCTGTAGTATCTAAAGCTGTGTGCTAACACTAGGTCTCTCCTCCTTTAGATGGAGATTAGTACCTCAGTTTTGTTTTTTTTAGTCTGAGAAAATTATGGTGCATCAACATATTGATCTTTACTATGCATCTTTCCAACAGTCTGATAGGTTCAAAGTCACCTGGTGACATTGTGATGGAGCACTGTGTGTCGTCTGCATAGTTATTGTGACAGATGTTGTTAGCTATAATCTGAGCTAACATGAGCATGTAGATGTTGAATATAAGGAGCCCCACAATAGGACCTTGAGGAAACCAGCATATGATTTTTCTGGTCTCTGATTTAAAGTTCCCTACCAACACATTAAATCCCTCTCCTTCACGTAGGATTTAAACCCTGACATCATGGATGTGTTTATGATTTGAATCAAATCAGACTAGCACCTTCTTTATAAAACTTGTGCAAAAAATTGTAAATTATTTTATACAACACTTAACTGCTGTATAAACTGAGCCTTTGTAAAGCAAGAGCTACATATTTATCCTTATTAATAGAAGGATAATTAGAATAATCCTAGATTTCTTACATACAGTTGCCAAACTCACACAGAGCCAAAGCTCTGTGTGAGTTTGAACCACTCATCCCCCCTGCACTTTGTAGTAATGATTTTATGGGATTATTTACAAATAAGATTCATTCTATCAATAATAAAATCATCAGCACCCCTCTAAATATGATTGGCTAATCTCAGAAAGGTGATGCAGCATCATTTAGCAAAACGATTTTCCCCATCTAAGTCTTCAACTTGTATGTTAGATCCAGTGATATATGCCAAAGGTTTTTAAGGTTGCTGTAATTAAACCTTTACTTAAGAAACTGTCAACCCAGAATCCTCTTTTCTTAGATAAAATTATTTAGAAAATAGTTGTGATCACTTACACCATAGTGAGGTTTTTGAAGAGTCTCAGTCTGGCTTTAGAGCTCATCATAGCACTGAAACAGCTCTGGTGAAAGTCACTAATGATATTTTCATGGCCTCAGATAATGGACTTTTATCTGTACATGTCCTGTTAGATCTCAGTGCTGCATTTGATACATTTGATTGTAATATTTTTTGGAAAGGCTTGAGCAACTTGTAGGAATCAAGGGAACAGCACTAGGCTGGTTTAAATC